TAATGGGCTCAAACAGCTTCGATATAAACGGGAGACAGCCATTTGTGCATCAAAATACTGCTTTCAGCACTATAATTTATAAATACACATTATCTCATACTTTTAGCTTCATTCTGAACCACCTTCATGTATACAGTTATTTATCCATTCCTACCTTGTTGACACTTACTTTCTTTAACATATTAGAGTGCTATTGCTTAATAAGTACCTTGATAAAAGAGAATAAGACCGAGTAGTCATACCTTCACTATTCCTCTATGAAAATTGTCTGCTCTGCTTCTTGTCCTTTCTTTTTCTTACGTCCTTTACAGCCCCCTCGAGATATGTCACCGAAAACAGATATGCAACGGGCGACTTCGTGCTGCACTATCATCAGAGCCTCAGATATTCCAGAGGGATATAAGGTTGCGGTTTCTAGAAGCTCCCAACTTCACATGGATCGACTCTCGACTATCAGTTGCCTGTCTCAACGCAACCTTCTTAAAGCACGCTTACTGGGATATTGACAACATGGGCCTTACTAAAACTGTCTACATTCATATCTTATAAAATATCAACTCAAATGAGTAAGTAACTACAGTTAAAATTGTATCTTTCGTAACAATTTGATTTCACCTGCAAACTGGCATGCCTCATGTAACGAACTGTTATTTGGGAATAAATTATTATTGCTATTATTATTATTATAAAGAAGATCAATGAATTTAAACGTATTTTTGAAAAGAACTCATGTTATCTGTAATAAGTCGGATTTCGAAATTCCGTTGAATCACATTTAGATGAACCGTATTATAGTATTATTCGTATTAAACTATTATCAATTAGTATGAGTATAGCACTACAGACCTGACGCGGTTTATAATACCTAAGTCTTCTTCAGTTGTAAGATTCACATTAAAACGTAGCGTGTTGAATGGGCTAAGACTGTCCTACAGTTCTTGTTATCACTTTATGCCTGTTCTATCATGAACCCACTTTCATCACCACGAATAACGAAATGCTGAAAATCCTCTCACAGATGGTCATCTTGGTACGATAAGGCGTTTACATGGCCACCAAGCTCTTTCTATAGTTTTGATTGGCAATATATTTTCCACAATAGCTGTTTAGGCTACCACAATATTGCAGTCAAGGAGATTTTAGCCATAAAGGGTTGATCTTGGCCTTCTAATTATATGAGCTATAAAACCTTTCATGGGCGGAGAATTAAGGCCTTGAGTAACCAAGAGATATGGTGCAAGACAGTCATATAGACAATTAGTCTGTCTTCGGTTTTTTAATAAAACCTCTCCTGGGCTAAATAATCCAGATGGTAATAATCGTAAATTACCTTGTGAAAATCAGCACAGAATGAATATTAATACTTATTCTTGGATGACACTTAGTTTACTTTATCCGGAAATGTATGAAGTTCAGCTACGTCCTTTCAGGACAAGTCTGACTGCATGAATACCAAAAAATGTTTACGAGGGAGTAGGGAGGAAGTTGAGTGAGTTGCGGTGTACCGTAGCATTCAGAGTTTGTTTACTGTCCAAAGCAAAGTATAGATTTGGGAAACATAAAGTTGTCTTAAGTCTACAAAGTGACAGCAGAAACGAAATTACCAATTATATAGAATTACAGAACTATCAAAAACGTTTGGTATGTATGCGTGCTTTATGTATAGCACCTTGAAACTTCAAGAAGCAAAACCAGCATTTTGTTTATTCGCATCATCTCAGCAACCTACTGCACCTAGTCAGGTCACAGGTTAGTTGAGTAGTTCCTTCATATAGGGAGCTTTTGGAAGAAAAACAAGCTTAACATCGAGAAATTAACCCCAACTGCATAGTTCATTCAAAATACGATCTTTTATTTGAATATATAGTAGTTTATTAGACCTCGACTAAACTTGAAAAGCCAGTAACAAAGCAAAGAATTCTGGCTTACATACTCGTGTATTATCATGTTTCTGGGAGGCAGAAATACCGTCACCGCCGTTTGGATGGACCAACAGTTCGACTTAACCACATTTCATTTTGTCATACCATGCATCCATCCGTAAACGGGAGTAACTGGTAAAGGGACTAGTTAGAAAACTATGGACAAGTTCTACATAACCCAGTATATGTCCTAGACATCGCATTTTGTAATAAATATATTTTTATTTGAATAACCCGAATTTATCATACTTTGAAACCAGTAATCCAAGTTAGGCGTTGTGATCTGTCAGATAAGTTATGGGACGGTAGGTCGACCAGATGTCCGAAAAATAGTCAGCAGTTTTTTTATACACTGGTGAGTATGTAAGGTTATTCTAAATATCAAGTAAATCAAGAATATCTTCAAAAACGCATAACATCCGGATTAAGGGCTTGAATTTATTTGAAAATCTTATCTCGCGAATAAAGAGTTTGCAGTTTGTGTTTCATGGGGTTCAGCAGATAAGTTATACCAAATTACAGAAAAATTATATGAAGAGTTATACGAGGTAGGTTAAGAGCATAGCTTAGCTTGGGCAGTTTTTCCATTTCATTTCCCTTCTGTGAACAAAATCGGATAACTTGAATGCTATAATGGCAAACACGATAGAAAGAATCGACAGCAAAATGTTAGGACTACTTCAAAGAGTCAATAAGAGCTCACTAAAAAGCATAAGTGTTGGCATATAGTGTGTTTAAATTATTTCTAAGGTATTTCGACTTAGTTTCTTAAAGACCAATGTATATTGAGTTACTTGAAATACTCTGAATACCCTGACATGTTGACTATTCGAAAACACTACCAAAGATTCACCTACTGATTAGTTTTATCATACAACTTTATTTTCTTAAGGAAGCTGTGGTTACACCTTATCAGACCTGTGCTATTCCTATTTAACTAACAATGGACGATGTCAGTTAAACAAATGGACGTTTATTCATCACAGAAAAATAAGAAATAGAATACACTCATAGGATAAATAATTCTATTCACATTTCCTCTGATCTAACAGTGATTTTCGGCCGACACGTAATCACTAGCCTCACTAATCATACATATCGAGCCTTCAATCATTTCAGAAACAAGTACGTCCAGCCGAATTTTAAAAATACAGTTATGGGTGTGTTTACATGTATTTAAAATCGTGGCTTTCCACAATTAGATACCGAGCGGCATAGCGAACTCGATGTCATTTCTTGAAGGAAGAAGAACACCGGAGATGTACACTTACACCTGATTTAATTTTAGGTATAAATTTTGAATAAAATCATTCCTTTTATTGGTAAAAACGATATGAAGTATTAGCACGTAAAGACTGGGTTACACAAGGTAACACTATCACACGGTCAAAAACTGCATAACTAAACGATAACCGATGTGACAATCTGCTTTACGCTGTCTGTAAATATTCTTTACTCATCGTAGCGTTGACTGGAATAGTGTGACTAAACAACCTAGTGATCATTTGGTCTAGACGGCTGTGACGTGGCTACTAAAGACCCCTGAGTACTTATCGCAGACTGTCAAATAAATATAGCTGTGTTACCGAAATAGAAATAGGTAGAATGGAAAAATATACATAATAGGATTAGACTGGAGTCAAAGTCATTTACAACAACCTAATTTAAATCCCGTCCTTCGTCTATTAGTCACCAGTAAGAATTGTGGCGAACTGCGTAAACACTTGTTATTCAATTTGAGTAACCAAAGCATTTTAAGTGATATAATAATTGATCTTGGGTTCATAATTCCAACGTAAACCCCATAAAACAAATTCAGAAGACTTGACAAGTTATGGTGTGCTTCTTAGGTTCCTTCTTTTAGCTAGTTTCAACGGACACCAGTATCACGCAATATTAAGGCCTGTAAATGATTGATAGACAATCCATAACTTTCAAAATGAAACCTTCAGGGAACACGTTTTTGTAAAACGTTTTCTGAAGTCGTTGTCGGAATCAGTATTTATTAATTGCGCTAAAAGGACATGGCATTCAGTTACATTGTCGAATCTCCTGTTAATTATTTTTCGTAATTAAACGAAAATAAGGGAGTTTAGGAACACTGCACTTGTCTGGCAGTCAAGAGAATGGACGCTGTCAAAATGGACCATAAACACTGAGATTTGAACCACCCAGGAGACAAGCACAGCGGGACCGAGTGATAGTATGTTTTGCGATTGCCGGGCACCAAAACCGGAAAAACGGAGTCCTTAAAAAATAAAATAAACAACAATAACTCATTTTGGCGTTTTACTTCACACATTACGATATGTATGTCATCAGCAGTTAACAACGAACTTACTGGAGATCAAATGATAAGATACTGAAGCGACTCAGCAATGGTCAAGTGGTATTAAATAATATTTCTCAATACATATGCTGTGATGTTGAAGTAATATGACTTTCGCTTACAGTTCAGAAGAAGCTTTTAAATGATTATTTACAAAAAGATTTTACTTCACGACCTAAAATTTGTAGTAGTTTCCTTTCTTGTTAGATATACTGTACAGATTGAAAAACGTATCCACAAATAACTTGTATTATACTGTAAAAAGTAAGTGGGTTGGTTTTTAAGTGCATGTTGAACTTTTCAAAGGAAGTTTGAGAAATTTTCAAGCTTTACTTTGTTTATCGACCATTTATGAAACAAGTTTTAAACCATATGATCTACCAACTCAGGTTTCTTATGTTTATGTTATTTGATTTATTTATAGAATGCATTACTATATTGGGCGATAAGCCTTAACGAACGTTGAAAAAAAATAAGAGTGATAGGTTTTAAAATGAACTACAGTTCTCTCTTGTCTATCTCCATCATATTTTTCGCACTGTTTTTGCATCGTGTATCAAAATTCAGACGGACAGCTATGTGTGTGTTAAATTCACTATGTAATTCCTTCTACAACTAATACAACTGTTAAAATGAACTTGTAGAATGAAATAAAAATGGACGTATTACGCCACATACTGTATGTCTAGCAGTTTTAATGACATGTTTTCGTCCTTTAGGTTTGTCAACATGTTTCTCAAGAAACTTGAATGTTTTTTCCTGAACTACAAAGCAGAATAGCCATACAAACTGTGAGGTTATGATATAATTATGAATGGCGATTCCATATATTGTAACCTTGCAGTAATATACAAGATACATAAGTATCATAAAAAATTTGAAATTAGGATTTTAATAAGTCGAATGACATAATGCAGTTTATTGACTAAATTAGTTAGCAGTTTGGAACCGCTGTTTAGAAAGCAGCTCAATCGAAACTCGCAACATTTTTTGAGCAAATAATCCTTGAAAATTTTGTAGACTATCAATATAGATGATCTGTGTCGATGATTAGAGACCTCCTCGGGTTAAATGGGAATAATGGGATCAATCAGCTAGCGTCGAGTCACACCTCGCAATCAGTATCTGATGTGGATTAGCCTTTCGTTGTATACAGGTACTACGACGACCGTACAACACAGACAACCTTATTTCAGAAATATATTAGTAAGATTGGGCACAAAGAACAAAGTGTAGCTACTAATGCATGAGCAAGTACATAGCATGCGATCAACTGATGCGCGCTGGCCTTCGTTGACCCTGACGGGTATGGGTGAAATGTTCGGTATTCAGTGGCCCTACTGCTGAATAATTTGACTAGGGCCAAGTGACATTTCACTAGCACTACATTTCTCTCATAAACTTTCTGTGATCTAGATATTTTCACGAGCTAAACAGCTATTTTTGTAACCTTCAAATTGTATGTGGTGACTAGCATCAACGAAGTCGGCGTTTCGAAATAAACAGCGTTTGCTTCTTCAGATGTAACTGTCATTATCTGGCGCTTGGACGCTAAATTTAGGTTTGTGCTTAAAGGGTTATTCTTCTGTGATGCCTGTTTTATCACTATGGTGGAATAAGAAAACGGTGCCGGAGTGAATTCTCCGAAAAATTACCTCAAATTCTAGGTTCTCTGTACAACCGTTTAAGGGAAGATTTTGTTGTTTGATTTGATGACCAGTTATCATTAACTAACTATTCCATAATAACTTTAATTTATATCGCTAGTGATAATGTGATGTACGTTTCGTAATTTCTCTCTTGTGTTTCTGTGCAGTCAGTTGTAACAAGTATTATATTGTTGTGCGAAGTTTGAGCGATTATTAAATAGCATGGGGTAGAGAATCAACCTACCTCCTAACTTGGTCTTCGAATTAGACATTGAGATAAGGAAAGCTCGAAGACCGACAGATATTATGAAACAAGTTTTTATTCACTCGTCGCTACGTTAAATGCTGACTAGACAGTCACTCGTTGAACAAGCGATAAGGGAAATTTATGGATAATGGGATAGTAGAGATTACATGGATGCTTTCCTGCGAGAACAACCCGATCATGTGGAACACGATTACCTATCTGCAACTTTCCTCACACTAAAAATTGGGCTGATTAAGGGTTCTTGTTAATCTCGACCGGCAAGAGTGAATCAAGCGATAATATTTTATTATCAACCAAGATGGTTGGTGGCTAGTATTGGAATCCAGAACGTGCGTTTCGTCCTATTTGGGACTCGTCAGCTGGATGTACCTGCATCTAAAAGTAGATGTTGACTTCGAGACTTGAGTCCAGCACTGTTTGTTTCAAACAACATCACATTATCCACTTAGTTACTGAGTCCCGATAGCCACTTTGTGTTGTATGTCTGAACCTTCCCATTGATGTTAAAGACTACAATTGATCAGGTGTATCCAGCTGACAAGTCTCATGAAGGTCGAAACGAGCGTCCTGGATTTCACCACCGTCATCTCAGCTTATAACGCCTGTGACATAAGGCAATATCGACGCGATCCGCACAGGACGTGCATAAGCTAATAAGAGACCGGTCAGTTGTAGTCTTAAACACCAATCAGGAGGTTCAAACAAACAACGAAAGATGGTATTTCATCTAAACACTTATCAATTAAGACTTATTCGATCTCAGAAAAGCCATTACTCTGACCCCTTTTATTTAACTATCAACCATTAAATCGCATCAGTTATAAAAACATGACTGATCCTTGCTAATGATTCATTTTGATGCGTTCTTTCCGATGTCCGGTATGTATATTTATTGTTATCTTCGTAATTAACTTAATAACCTCTCATTTTTATCTTAATTTTGCTGGTTAACACTTTAGAAACAGATTATAATTGTTGAATACATACGGTTAGCGGGATATAGATTGTGTTGAAGCATGTTCCGTACAGAGGTACGTTAGAGCTCGCTGATAGACTAACTTTATCCAATCGGCACTAGTAGACACTTGGAGAGGACCACGAAATCAGTGCGTTGTGACATCAGCGGAATGCGGTGAATCATTAAATGAAATACGGACCACCGAGAACCGATTAAAGTCATCAAAGCGCAAGTTCGTTTCAACACGTAACAAAGCTGTTTGGGCGATACTATTTACCATGATGTAAATAAAACTCATAAGAGACGACTAAACAAACAACCTCACTGGACTGAACGAGCAACAGGTTGTTCGGAAAGTGTTTTTGAACAGTTGCATTATGCATTAACAAAGAACAAAAAAGTAGTTATCTGTTAAAAAAACACGTAGCTTTGATAAACAAGGATCGCAACTCTATGAGTTGATGACTGAATGATACGACCATTCAAGCGCGGACAACCCGTCACGATGAACTAATAAAGCCACCGCAAAAAACTTGGGGTCAAGTAAAATAAGAGTGATTACAGAAAGTCAATTACCATACAACAACGTAGATCCAACGGAAATCAGAATTCGTAAAGTAACATCAGTCCAACGAAAGACAAACATTCGCTTGTATTGGAAGACAAATAGAAGGAACGTTTGGTATGGAGTGAAGTATAGGATAGTTGTCACACACACTGGAAGCATGAGGGATTCTCAAATACTGAAAAAATCTTAAATCTAGTGAAGAATATCCATTGGAAAGCGTAAGCCATTTTAAAAATTGCCTGATGGAATTGATCCAAGCAACCTACAATACTCGAAGTTGGTTGCATATATTTACGTCTGCAGTGAACTTTGTGTTAGTTGTTTCCACTGGAACGATCAGAAACATATCATTACTTACTTACGCCTGTTACTCCTCGTGAAGGAGCATAGGCCACTCACCAGCATTCTCCATTCAACCCTGTCCTGGGCAATCCTTCCAAGCTCCGTCCAGTTCCTATTCATCCTTTTCATATCTGCTCCTATTATCCGACGCAATGTGTTCTTTGGCCTTCCTCTTTTTCGCTTCCCTTCAGGGTTCCAAGTTAGGGCTTGCCTCGTGATGCAGTTTGACGATTTGCGTAATGTATGTCCTATCCATTTCCATCGTCTTTTCCTAATTTCTTCTTCAGCTGGAAGTTGGTTTGTTCTCTCCCACAGAAGGCTATTACTGATGCTATCCGGCCAATGGATGTTGAGTATCTTGCGTAGGCAGCTATTTATAAATACTTGTACTTTCTTGATTGTGGTTGTTGTAGTTCTCCAACTTTCAGCTCCATACAGTAGAACTGCCTTGATGTTGGTATTGAAGATTCTCACTTTGATATTGGTTGAAAGTTGTTTTGAGTTCCATACGTTCTTCAATTGTAGGAATGCGACCCTTGCTTTGCCAATCCTCGCCTTTACGTCTGCATCTGAACCTCCTTGTTCATCGATGATGCTTCCTAGGTATGTGAAGGACTCTACATCTTCCAGAGTTTCGCCATCAAGAATGATTTGATTGCTGTTCTCCGTTTTGAATTTGAGGACCTTGATTTTCCCCTTGTGTATGTTGAAGCCTACTGATGGAGAGACTGCTGCTACACTGGCTGTCTTTATCTGCATTCGTTCGTGTGTATGCGAGAGGAGAGCCCGGTCATCAGCGAGGTACAAATCGTCTAATTGATGTTGAGCTCTCCATTGTATTTCATGTTTTCCTTCAGGTGTAAGGGTCTTCATAATCCAGTCTGTTGATCTCGAAGTTAGGCGTCCACCGAGTCTTTCCTTCGGTTCGGCAACACTCGGTTGAATACTTTTACGGATACTGACAGTAGTGTGATGCCTCCGTAGTTTTCACATTTGCTCAGATCTCCTTTCTTTGGAATCTTGATGAGACGTCTTTCTTTCCAGTTCATCGGCACTTGTTTCTCCTCCCAAATCTCCTTGAATAGGGAGTGAAGCATCTTTGTAGTTACTTTAATATCTGACTTCAGTGCTTCAGTTGGTATGTTGTCGGGTCCTGCTGCTTTCCCGTTCGTGATTTGTCTGATGGCCATTCTGATTTCTTCCGTCGTTGGTGAATTGACATCTATAGGAAGATCGGTGTGCACTGCTTCGATTTCCGGTGGATTTATTGGAGCCAATCTATTCAGGAGTTCCTCAAAGTACTATACCTATCTGTTCCGCTGTTCTCAAATTTCAGTGGTTGGCTTGCCTTCTTTGTCCTTGACCGGTCTCTCTGGTTTACCATATTTCCCTGCTAGTTTCTTCGTTGTATCGTAAAGCTATTTCATATTTAGTTCTCTTGCACCTTCCCCCGCCGTCGTTGCTAGTTCTTCCACGTATTTCTGCTTGTGAGCTCTAATGCTCTTCTTCACTTGCTTGTTTGCTTCTATGTATTCAGCTTGTGCTTGGACTTTCTCTGTTCGTGTTCGGCTGTTGTTAACTGCTGCCTTCTTGTTTTTCCTTTCTTTGATCTTGTCCAGTGTTTCTATAGAGCTCCATTCCTTATGATGGTGTTTCGTTAGGCCCAGAACCTCTTGACACGTTGAAGTTAATGCTTCTTTGATGCCTTTCCAGTTGTCCTTCATAGAAGTTTCTTCTTCCTTCAGTAGATCTTGTAAGGCTTGGAACCTGTTGCTGAGAGCTATCTTGAATTCATTGAGCCTGTCAGCATCTCGAAGGAAGGCTGTGTTGAATCTTTGCAGTGCAGTTTGTCCAGTTGTCCAGTTCTTCTTTAGCTTCAGTTTTAAATTGGCCACAACTAGGTGGTGCTCTGAAGCTATGTCGGCTCCTCTCCTAGTTCTTACATCTTCCATTATCCTTCGGAACTTTTCATTGATGCAGATATGTTCTATCTGGTTCTCTGTAGTGTGGTCCGGTGAGATCCATGTAGCCTTGTGTATACATTTGTGTGGAAATATTGTGCCTCCTATGACCAACTTGTTGAATGCATACAAAATTGCAAATCTTTCTCCATTTTCGTTTCTCTCTCCCAGTCCATGTCGTCCCACGATATCTTCATATCCGGTGTTGTCTATTCCGACTTTGGCATTTAGATCTCCCATCAGAATGGTCAGGTCCTTTCTTGGGCACTTCTCTATGACTGACTGAAGCCGCTCGTAGAATTGATCTTTAATGTCGTCGTTGCTATCATTGGTGGGTGCATAACATTGGATAACATTCATTGTGGTCCCCTCCTTCTTTGTTTTGAATGATGCTTCGATGATTCTGGATCCGTGAGGTTCCCATACTACAAGTGCGTTTCGTGCTATTTTGGACAGCATTAGAGGAACTCCTTGAATGTGTGGAGCATTTCCCCTTCGTGACCGGAGTATAGTAGCAGTAACAAACGTATTCTTCTAAGAAAAAGGTTCACAATCTGCGATCTAATAAACTTAAAGTGGGGTCCCGTTTTTATCATCGAGTGGTCGAAGACTGGAACGCCCTACCCGAACAAGGGGTATCAGCCCCATCGACGAATATCTTCAAGGAGAATCTGAACCTATACTGGAAAGCAAACTTTCAGGACTAACACAGGTCCACCAACCTACTATCATTATTACTGGGGACTGAGACGAAAGTACATATTTATAAGAACGGTTTATCTTAGATTAATTTATTAACAATCTTTGTTTTATATTTACTTTTGTTAAATACTCTGCTTACTGTAAAGTTCAAGTTTGATTAGTCTATATTCAAAACGATCGGCTGTAAGTACACATACTATCCATCACAGATGAAAATTTGGTCATTTGATTTTGGATTGTGAGCGCGCTGATTTTGTATATATGGGTGTCAGTTGTGTTTCTTCTGTTAAGTCCTAGGATGTAAGTTGTGAGGCTTTCGAAACCTAACGTTTTCACACTAAAGGCCAAAGTCTCTCCGCTATGATTTGTGTGACGACCGGTTAGTGCCACGTTTACTATTTTCAGGCTCTTAGATTAACTTCCCGTCCGTATGAATGTAGTAGTAATTTATACGATGAAAGTTATCAACTTCGAGATGAATATTCAAGAAAACACAAAAAGCATTCTCATCGCTCGAAGGAACATGGAAACCATACATCCAAGTATTCTAGTCACAAGCACAAAAGGACAGGTGACTGGTCACCTGAAATCTCCCCTAATGATGTTCCTAAAAAGTTTGACGTCGTTAATTCTTTTATACGAAAATTTATTTAGAAAGAAAAAGCACAAGAGGCGTTCTCGCAGTCATAGCAGTGGCAGAAAGGTCCGTGTTTCCAGGCATCACTCTCCGGAATGTACGGATATCAGTTCCTTCAAGTTCCGATCCAGTCTTATGTCCGAGTTATCAAAACATCACAACTTCAAGGAGAAAATTTTAAAGGCTCAAAACGTTCACGAGACTTATGAGATCAAAGATTTTCGCCCAGTATCCGCTGAACGTGACTTGAAACAATCAAATGTGAAGTGTTTCGAGGCTCCTAAATCTGAGTCCTCCCTGATCCCATTAGATGAAATAGCTTTACCACCAGAGCCAAGTAGAAAGCTGTCAAGCTCGGTTTCCTCAGTCAGCACACCACTGTCTAAGGAAACTGCTATACGAGAGTCCAATCCAGATTCAACCGTAAAGGATCCTCATCGGATAGATTTGCCGCAAACGAATAAGTTACTAAAAACACACCAATTACCATTGCCTACGGAAACTCTGTAAGTGTATATTTTGGCTTATTCTTATGCATTTCAGGTCTGAGGATAAAAAACCGTCTATTACGGAACTTCCGTTGCCTCCTGGCTTTGACAGCACAAACCTAGACACAATCTTTCCTAATAAGTCACCAAAGCATTCCGTCCTGGGTCGACAGTAAAACCTGCCGGCAGGCAAAGGATAACTAAACGTCCCAAGTATGTTGTTGGTTATCTTACCCTTCACGTTTGATTATTTTGATTGAAAGTTGGAACGTTTGGAGATGAAAATGTATTTTCGGTCATACACCCCACTTACTAAGTCGTATGGTACTAATTAAATTTAAGCGCATCTGCATGAACCATAAAACTACCTTATAATACAACACCAATAGCATGAAAGTGGATATCCTTAAGGTAAGTAAATAACAAACAGCTATTGAAAGTCAGTCCTCGTTTATAAGCCAAAAAATACAGCAGTCAAGCGGCAGCGTTTTGATATATTAGGTTGTTCTGTGTCAATCACCTTTGAGATGTTACTGAAATACATCAAACCTGTTTCACTTTTCACTAATAAACATTGAAAAATTGGTCACGTATACCGTTACACTGATATCAGAATAGCTTATTCTGGTCTTTAAACTTACAACTGGATAGATGTTTAGTTCTATTTCCTATGACCTCAAGCTATTATTTTTGTTCTTTAGTAGCTATTATGCCATTATTTCAGACTTGTCAACTGGTACGATAGAGATTAACCCAATAAAGTAACGCCAAGCTTTCAAACCTCACTTTAATTAGTCATAACTAACTTATCATTATTAGCCATACTTTTCATTATCAGCAAATAACTTCCAGATAAGGGTACAGTTATGTATGTCATTCCAAATGTATGCTATTACTTATAAGGTATGATGTTTGAAAGCAAATAATTTAATAAATCTGGCCTTTAAAATATCACTCGATGATAGCGAAGATAGCCTTTAGGTAATATTAAGATTGATCTTCAAGTTCTAGGTTACTATTACACTTGTTGCAACTTGACCTTCAGTATGTGTATCATATTAGTGTGGGTTTTTGTTGACTACTTTTCAGTATGCCCATAGGGCATTTGAATTCTGACCGTCAGTCTCCTAAGGTTGATTGTTTGCAACTTTAGCTTATGTATATACATAATGTGTGCGAAACCAATTTGTTGATCTTTGGGTCATTGGAATTTGTTGTATTTTGACTAATAGCTATTTCGCTTCATTTTGTAAAGGATTTGCGCACTTAGAAGCAAAAGTCGTAATAACAAGACATGGGGAGAGCGTTCTGTTACGGCTTTTGACACACTAATTCAAGTTGGTGAAGGTACATATGGTCATGTCTATAAAGCAAGAGATAAAATCACCGGTAAGTATTTACTTATTTGTAATATTACGATGTTTATTTCAGGAGAATACAAAGCATTGAAAAAAGTTAGGCTAGAGAATGAAAGGGAGGGATTTCCCATAACCGCTGTTCGAGAAATAAAAATACTTCGCCAACTCAGACACCCTAACATTGTTAACTTATGCGAAATCGTTACTGACAAGGACGATCCTACTGACTTTAAGAAAGATAAAGGTAATGTTTGTTATTATTCATTGTTTTACTTTCTCCAAGGTGCTTTCTTCCTAGTTTTCGACTACATGGATCATGATCTTTATGGTATTTTAGAGTCTGGATTGGTAGCTTTCAGTGAACAGCATATCGCTTCTCTGATGAAGCAGCTCTTGGATGGCCTTAGTTTTTGTCATGATAGACATTTTCTTCATCGTGACATAAAATGTTCTAATATCCTGATTAACAACAAGTAATAAAGTTAATTGAGTTATTGGTTTTTCAGAGGACAGCTGAAGTTAGCAGATTTTGGACTGGCACGTTTATATATCGCTGGAGATAAAGAAAGACCGTACACGAATAAAGTCATAACCCTGTGGTATCGACCTCCAGAATTACTACTTGGTGAAGAAAGATATGGCCCAGCCGTTGACATATGGTCTTGCGGGTAAGGAGAAAAGTTTTACAGTTTTTACCCTTCTAAGGTGCATATTAGGAGAAATGTTCACTCGTCGACCAATGTTTCAGGCTAGTGAAGAAGTCGAACAATTAGAAGTCATATCACGAATTTGTGGGTATCCAGATCCAGCTATATGGCCTAATGTTGAAAAATTACCTTTCTATTCGACAATAAAACCTAAAAAGATGTACAGACGCAGACTCCGAGAAGAATATCACATGTAAGGCTTCCATTATTATTATTATTTCCTGCATAGCATTCCACCACATGCTGTAGATCTCCTCGATCATATGCTTCAATTGGATCCCAAAAGCGATGTAGTGCACGTGAAGCGCTAGCTTCACCATGGTTACGGAATATTGACCCTACAAAGATTTCCCCACCAAGGTATTTACTATAGAAATATTCTACTCTTTCTTAGATTACCTGTTGACCAAGATTGTCATGAAATGTGGAGCAAAGAAGGCGACGCATGTTGCGCCAGGAGCAGGAAGTAAAGGCTCAGAGAATTGGCCAAGAAACATCCTCTTCCAAGTTCCCAGGTGGGTTATTTTCTTAAACGTTATTTTTTGTAGCTGTCACATCTCGTACTTCCATAGTGGATGGTAATTCTGTTCCAAATGGACCATCTCGAAACCAAGTATATTCAACAAGCAGTAGATCTGGATCATTCAAACAAAGCATTCCAAACAAACTTAGTAGTGACGGATTTCCAGACAGTAGTTTCAACATGACACAACTTCATCATCCTCAAATTTCTACTAATCCCATAGATTCCACTACTAGTCTTAAGAATCAGCTACGAGACTTATTGGCAGATTTCGCAGATTCTGGAATAGACCGTTTCAAAGAATCTATCACTGAAGCACTGAAAGCAAATCCTAATTTATTAAAAGGAATGCAAGAATTACTTGGTCCTAGTGATCCTAGTGAAAATGCCTCAGCTGTCTTGCGTATATTTTATCATTGTTGGCAGATTTAAGTAGTCAGAGCTCAACTGCTATGGAAATGAGTGATGCAAGTATCCAAACGGCATCTTCACAGATCCATCCTCAACATTTGCCACGTGATTCAAATAATCAACTAACCTAGTATTACTGCTACTGCCGCCACTACAGCTCTTTCTAAGGATTCTGGTATTTTCTGATGTGAAAGTTCAACCATTGTGTGCATTATACATATATTTCAATTTTGTTGTATCTAAGCTGTAAAAAATGAAATGCTTTATTGTTTTTGTCCTGTTTATTTAAATGATGTGCTATTTTTAGACAGATAATGTAGATATAAAAACAGACACTTGTGATAGACATCCGAAACCTAATTTTATACTGATAAATTTTCGGCCCCAAAATACATGTTATTACTTGATAGTCTTTTGCTCATTTTTACTGGTATCAGCTCAAAAGGTTTTTGTTGTGAGTACATCTCTAGCAATTATTGCACTTGCATAAAGGTTATGATTAAGAAAAAACATTGTCAATGTTATTCCATTCTGTCAGGCAGTTTAGTCACAAGACTTGAAGTGTCACGGTTTGAAAAATTATTAGGTGATTTTAGGTCAATATTGCACACGTATCAGTGCGAATTGTGGAATATTGTCATATATCGATAATGAAACAGAAAGATGCCTCTTCAAATGGGAATTAGGAGAGGTTTACTTCCGACGCAAACTGACTTTCCTCTAAAAATCATTTTGGTAGTTTAGTAATGATATTTCATAGAGATACTAGAAAGTAAGGTTTCATAATAATCTCATTTCCCCAGTAATAATTATTAAGTCATCATTCAAATACTTTATATTTTGGTAGGATAGTGCGAAAGCTAGTATCTTCTTGAAACATAATGTCGACTTATAATTTTCCCATTGCTTTGATAACATATTTTACTGCTCAAAGTTATCTGTACTAAAAAGAGAAGCAACAATTTTACAGTTATTTCAGCAATCAGACTGACATTAAAATTATTCAGGTATTTCTAATCTCAGTAACTGACTTTTGGAATTATGTACTAATCATTCTAAAGTATTTGTACAATATACATCCTTAACAATCTTTGCGGTCTTATGGAGGGTTAATCCCAAACATTCTAGATAGGCCACTTCCTATTGTATTTCTTTGAGTAGATAAATGTGAACTATGGTCGACCACTGTTTGTATGATGTCTGTCTCACTGAAACAGTAAGAACTTAAGAGGACGGACATGTGCCGTTGACCCTTCATTGATTCTGCTTATACCCTCACTGACTACAGTTCTGATGAAGTGAAAGATTAGTTCTACAATTAACCTCGTCACTTTTAGAAAACCATACACTTAACTGATATAGTCCTAGAAAGTACCCGGGTGCCCAGACCGAAGCAGGTGGTTTTCCTAGGGGGCCACACCCGGAGCCTTTGATTTAAAGGTCTGACCCACAAGGCAGTGGAGCATCGTAAGGAGATGCAGTCCCATGGTAGCCGGTGACCAACAATTGGTTCATATACTATTTATTACTTCAGGATACTGGAGCCCATGTGCACTACTGGTTTGGGATCCGGTTAAAGCGCTGGACATTCGCTTTTCGTCCTCTCATTTTCGTAAACAACACCCCCGTCACGAGAAGGCAGTAAGTAGGGCTTCCCTGTCAGAGGTATTCGCGTGGCCGTGTGGGAGCATTTATAGAGCAAGGTCGGGCTCACCCCACTCTCGGCCATACTAGGGCATTTGGGGGCACATGCTTTGACTGTGATCATGCTGTACCAATAGGAGTACGCGTTTGCCTACGTCTTACTGGGCACAGAAGAGCTGCAACAGGCAGACCGGTTAAGTTTTAATTCAAAGTGGGAAGGTCAAGAGTCCATTTAGGGGAGAATCAATTCAGCACTCAGTCGATCATGGAGAAGAACATTCTGACAAAGTGAAGTTTGATATGATATCCAAGCTGCTGCAAATGCATCAGTGATATTGGTCACTGACTTAAATGAAAAGGTTAAGAAGCAACAGTGGACTTCGATGCCATCTACTGAATTGATAGCTGTTACAAAACTCATCTTGACAAACTGGCAGAACGATGAGGATGACAATTGAAATACAGACTAATAGGAAGTTCAAACAATGATTGAGCGATGGTGATCAACAGTAGCAAAATATGTGGGAAAAACTGACTGTGGATAACACTAGACAACTGTTACGACTCTTAGAGAAAACAAGTATATAGGAGTGGGGTGTTAGTGAGAATATCTCGGAAGTACACGGAACAGTTATTCATTCTCAATCCTGAAGATTGGAACGATGGGTAGAACGGTTTGAAGGATGATTCAGCTGTGTTGTAGCAATCTTCCGATTACGTATTATTATCAACAAACCTGAATTGGAAATCATGAGAAGTCTCCTAATTCATAGTGGAATTTAGAAGTTTTACTTAATCTAAAGCGAAGGAGAACAGAAAGTATTGTTAGATCAATTTCTGAGACCTTAGAGGATAGTGGTTTGGTTTTGACAAACAGATTGTCTCAGATATTATCTTGAGTCTAAGAACAGGATTTAATTCCACCTCACTGGTCTTGACCTCTGATCGTTTTATCGCGTCTGGTGTTGTCACCCTCACATGGATTATTCCGGCTTCTGTACAGACCGATTCATTCTTTCTTGCGTTATTGTCCACACTTTGACCTATTCAATTATTTGCTTATAATCTTATCCGATATATGGACGTATGTGTGTGTATCGCCTACTCTGCGTACCAAATGTCTTTAGCTTAATTTTTTGTCTGATTCCAGATGGTGAGTCATGCCTTATCAAATAGATTTGGTGCTTTTTCCCTCTCCTTTTTACTTTCCTGCTTCTCGTCTTAATAACTTTCTGAGTAAATGAATCCACGTGATAAATTTATCCAACTGAATCAGTATTTGGTTTCTTATTACCACCGCCGCTCAAATGGGGTTAACCTATGTGTAAAATACGGAATTAAGTGGAGGATTTATGTCCATGAGATATTCATTAGTTCGTTTAAACAGGGAGTCATATTATGAGCCGCTAAAGTTACTATGAGAATGGACAAAAATCGACTGAGGAACCAGTTTGAGGATAATACCCCAGACAATGTGTTAATTAACAACCAACGAATAACAACAGCACGTAAAATGTAAGTCTTAGAGAGACTTGTCGTTTAAGATCAGCATATGGATGTATCGGCTCTAGAGGTAGCTCTCATTCTCTAACTTCCCAGGAGTTGATTTTTCTTGAAGAGGATCACTTATAAACGTAGATGAAATATTCCCATTAATTAAGACTCAGAATGCTAAGATGTTCGGGGTGTGTTCCTTTTCTTGTAAATGGAAATTGTTTTTCTCAGGAATAATCTGCATCGACCTATAAACTAGCAATAGAGAGTGAAGTAGTTGAATGCGTTGATCACTTCACTTCGCTTGTGTTAAAACTTTTATCAAACCTGGTGAGCTAGTGTCTGATGAAAGCTGGGTCAATCTTCAACATATTCAGTTATTTATGACGTAGGCGAGATATCCTGCCAGCCAAAAGGTATATATGCTGCTCAGCAATCTACTCTGTTCTACCTTACATATGTGGAACATGATTCTTGAAAGTACAAGACATGAGTAGTCAGAGTTTTCGATCTTGAGTATCTTCGAACAATTGGTTGCGTTTCATGGATAAGTCGAATGAAGAACGTTAATACTGAGCACAGAATAACAGGTAAAGATGGAAAGCCGGTTGATGAGTTTGCTGATTTTCGTCGACTGAAGTGGTTAAGACGTGTGTTACGTATCCTTAACCACTGACTACCTTGATACCTGATGCCTTTTAATGTAGGAGTAGGTTGAAAAAATCTAGGATAGCCCAAATCAAGATATGACATTAACCTACGAAGTCAGTGACTTAGTTTTAACATTTTTGAGAGATAAGGGTTATTTAGTTGGGTCCTCATAATAATAGCGAGCAGTGGTTGTGGACTTTGGATGACAAAGCTCCAAGTCGTTATCAAAAGAGCAAATGAATTAACTTTATCTCGTTCTAGATTTTGAATTCCAGTATTCACCCATGCGTAGCTTTCTAATTAAACTTCTCTAACCATATATTTCCAATATTCAGTCGTCTTCATTGTGATTGTTATATCCTTCTCGTGGTGTTAACATGGGACGGCGACGTCAGCCAATGCTAATCTGTGTTAGGCTCTATGCTGATGATGACTGACTGTCATGATCTTTGAGACATACTTCATATACACTTAATCGAACCGAATGTTAGCTTCTGGGATCTCATTCGTAGTTGACAGTGAATAGAAAACGACCGTGAGTTTAACTGAACGAATAGTTGGCTTTCGGCAGGACGTGTACTGGTAGTTCCCAATATCTCTACAGCAAATATTCTGTAGTGTTTCCTAACTTTTTAACTAACGATGTGCAGTTTGTTTTGCACGTTGTTCGGTTGAGATCTACAACAATGTAACTAACGTAATGGGGATGGTGTTTGTATATTTCAATTTATCATTTTCCTAAGTTGAATGAATGTTACGTTTTCCTACCAAGTTGAATTCAATCGTTGGTATTTGAATTATGATTACTTCCTAAGAAACAAATAAGCTGAATTTTCATCGTTAATCAATTGTAATTATTGTAAACAATCTATCTAATATTCAACTTATTTGAAATTATTAAGTATAGTCTTTGTAATGATACTTATTAGAATATAATAATCCCCAGTCTTTAAGACATGGCTTTTTGCACTTATTCTGAATTTTGACAGTCATTTTGGATATGTTCTTCCATCTTATTATAAACCATGAATCAGTGAATTTCACCTAACTAATGTATTATTTTGTGAATTTTTTATCATTGACAAAGAGAAGAAGCGAAGTTTTATTAGCAGCTTCTGGTTTCAGTGAAATGAATCCATCAGCTATGTTAAATAACATCATCATTGTAGCCTAAACCATTTGAAAAATATGCATTTTCTCTGAAAGTTAGATAGGAGATAAACCCTTCATATAATACTATCAGGTGCTTCCATTTCATTGAGAGCATAGACTATGACCTTGATTTTATCAAAACTTTGGTAGAAGCCTTTTTGAATTTACTTTAGTACATCTTTCAAACTTCAGTAAAGAGATGACGAATTCAGTTTTTAGGACAAAAACCCTGTTTTTATTTCGAAAAAAACACATTTTGTTTTTAATTTTGTAGCTACTCATAAGTAGTCAAAATATTTGTATTGAAAAGATGTTTGATTTGGGAGTATTGGAGAAACAAGTACGTTCGTTAAGTGACGCCGTATCTGAGCTGAGCTATTGAACATACACTTTCTTTCACTGTTCATTAACTTTTATGATATAGTTATCTCATAGTTCAT